ATATTAGGCCCCTACTTGTAATAATATTATAATCGATAATAATACGAGATGCTCTTTAGACCACAATTTATTAATTTTGTATAATTACCTCCCAATATTTAGACGCAGTAGAAGTTACTTTTCATGTAGTTGACGGAAACGACACGATTCTATTTCCAACTTTCTTTCCGAAAAGGACAGTGGTTCCAACATCTCAACCAGAAATTAACCCAAAATCAACACTCGTCACACGTAAGAATTAATAATAATTTAGTTGTAATTGTAGGCCTACTCGTTTAGTTTATTATTAACTTAGTCGTCGACTGTGGTACGAAGCCGGCCGATGAAGCCATATCTCTGTGAAAGCTTGGCGACGCGGCACCGTCTGATGTTTGTCGATGGTAGACTGTGTGCGGATCGTCATAAACGTCATCGCCATAATTATTTTATATATTTAAAGGGATCCTCTGGACTGGTAAACTAGATGGGTCACCATTTATGAATATGGTGCAAACAATCTAGAAAATTAATCAATCAATAAATTTATCTATCTAACAATCAAACCACATTTATTAATTCAATCGATCGATCCGTAAGTCAATCAATCAATCAATCAATCAACCAATCAATCAATTAATCAATCAATCAATCAATTAACTAACCGTCAATATTATACGTCGACAATAATCTATGTTGGATGATACATGTATTAGCTAATTGTTTATATACTTTTATTGTAGTGAATGCACTTGCCATTGCATTGGGGTTGTTTGCTACAACTGTTGGAATTGTAGTCGTGAGCTTAATACTACATGTGTACATCTGGAAACGAAGGCGGTATGATTTCTAAGACTTATTATTCCTTTTCAATTCATCCATCATCATAATGGGAACACATGTACAGTATTAGGGAAGTACATCCATGATAAAACATATACAAGCTCCACCTTACCTCCGACCCATTTAATTGTCATAATATTGATCAACTATGATTTTAGTTAAGTTTTTTTAACCAATTCTATATGCATTCATATGTTGGGGAAACACAATGGAGAGGCACAACAAATTGTATCGCTCGTTATAATAATTATTATATGGTTATGATAATTAAATTGTCATATTTTATTTATATTCTATACGGTACTGCATCATTTTAGGGGGAGGGGTCTCCTTGAAAACTAAATTATCCCGTGGTTTTGGCTTGTGAAGGGCAGTGAGTTTGCACCTGTGTCAAGGTGTGTGCGATTTTTGTTTCTCCCAGCTTTATTGTTCTGTTTTATAAGTTGAGTAATCGATTAGTCAGAATGATCGTTTGGTCTTTCCTTTATTGTGTATTTATGCTTGATAGTAATCAAGACGGAAACCGGCAATCAACGCTACTAAGTATTTTATCCTGTTTCAATAATCGTTGTGTTGTTAAATAGAGTGGGGTGGCGCTATAACTCGCTTTCCTAGTATTCTATGGAAGACCCTGTATAGTACGTCTTTTGTATTCGCTTAAAATTACTTCGAAAATAAAACTCAATGACAGTTTGTTCAGTCACCTATCCTATATAGGATCTGTGGTTCAGTGTACTGTATTGTACGTGAATTTTGATGTCCACTAATTAAAAAAATAATAATAATAATTTGTTTTTTTGATGATAAATGTTTATATTCTCCTCTGTAGCCATCTGAGACGTCCTATTGAAGTTGAAGGTCTTGGAAACTTGGAGCAAATTGAAGTTATACCTGTCTCTAGACAGCGTGCATCTGGTTACATGACTATCAAATTCAAAACCAGACGAATTTATGATGATCTTGGTGGTCTGCAGAGTGCAATCAAACGTGGACAGGCCCATCAAGGCAGACCAAGTAAATCTGTTGAAATTCCCGAGTTGATAGGCTTTGAGCGCGAAACGGCATCCAGACAGGTTAAAAGTAATAGTCTGCCATCCTTACGCGGAATCAAAGAATTATTCAGAAGCACCTCACTGAACTCCCTATTCCTCCATCATAAGCGAAAAGTAGAATATGCAAGCCCAAAGAAAGTGAGTGTTGGGCCAGAGACCGGGGCTAGGGCGCGGGATAGTGCGCATCGGTCATCTAAGAAGAGAACACGCCCTGAAAGTTCAAGATCCGATCATCTTTACAGCACGATACCTGACATCATACGGCAGGTGCAAGAAGAGTTGATCTCTCAAGATGGCGTCAGGGAAAGAGTTGAGAGAGCTAGTTTGTTTGTGGAGGAACCTGTGGTAGAACAAATCTCAGATACAGAATTAGATCCTGACACATTAGAGATGGTGGATAATGTAATATACGAACCGTATGATGATGACGATATAGGTATACATAACGAAGCATTTGATCATGAAGACGAGGGTTTATGAACTCAATAAATTTCTGAACTTTTTTTACATATAAATTGTTATATAGTGGTTTTCTATATTAGGGAGTATTTAATCAGTTGAATGTCTCAAGTGTATTGAATCAATACGATATATTACACAAGGTTTTTGTTGTAGAGACCAAAACATGAAGCTGCAAAGATTTACAGATAAGTGCTAATTTTTCAAGTGTCTGTGACGTGAAACTTATTTTTATGCTAAAATTGAAACGATGATGTTCATAAAGCAGGCAGTATGTAAACATCATTCGTATTGTAAATATTTTTATAATAAACATTTTGTATATACATTATTATCTTGAATATATTTAGCAGCATAGGTCGTGTACCTTAATAAATATTTGTACTTTTCGAAATTATCATATGCCTAAAATAGGCTCAGTTAGCAGAGGAAAGACATGCAACTGTAGTTTCATTGCCGAATCGTGTGTGCTTATTTTCAGTTTCTGGGTGTGTGGGGGGTTCGAGCGACTTTTATATGTCAAATTTTGTAAGAATATATCTCTACATCAAGAGACAATATTTTATTTCATCAGAAAAAAATAATCTCTATCTTCTTTCGTCAGAAAATACCTATAATTGTAAAAATATAAATCGATAAAAATCGAAAAATTAGGCTCGGATCCTTATTTGGCAGTAGTGGCTTCTCAGTTGACGTGACGCCAGACAAGAATTTGTGGAGTCGTTAATATTATTTTTTTTGTTGTTTAGAAATCTGTTTGGAATGGTGCGACTGATTTCGAATACGGTACCTCTTTGATAGAGGCCCATGTTACTAGGCAAAATTATACGTTTTAATTCGTATAATATTCAATAAGAAATGGTTGGTTAAAATGCTATTGTGCTAATCGTATTTTAACCATCATCTCGAAGCAAATGTTAAACAGATTCTAAGGAAATTGATGCAGACGATCTAGCTTTATCAGTTTCGTAATTAATATCAAAGGCAACATACGGTATGTCTCAAACGTTTTAATCCTTAAATTATTATTAGGCCTATTATTATTATAATATTTTTATTATTATTATTTATTAAATACACTTCAATGATTATGGGTAAATTATGTTCACTGGCGACGGTAGTATTTACATTTTGATTGGTAGGGGTGTAGTTAAGATTTGAGGTGTATCGGGTGGTATGGGTAATAATAGACAGGGTCATGTTTCCGCAAACCACAGATGGGTCAGGCTCATCTGACGGGGTGAGACCCTGTATGAAAGACAGGCCGCCTATTTTGATTCTAATAAATATCATAAATATGTACCACAATCATAATAGTCATATTCATAATCTGAGTTAATTAAAACGATTTTATACTTAAAAAAGTTTTATTTCTATGCAATATTGTTGATGTGTCTGGAAATTTGTTGACTAGCTAATCGACATTATGTAAGCTGAGGCCTGTTTCACCCCAATAACTAAAAATCATTAAAATAAATGAAAAATTACTTTATATACACGAATCTGTTGTGATCAAATTATTAACTAAGTAGTAAACCTGCTGGTGAAACTGGAATCTTATACTAAAGCGACTGCTTTGTACTTGATACAGTAATATATTAATCAGTATTTTCGAGCAGCTTTTTATTAAAAAAAAAAATTAAAAAAAGAAAAAAATAAATAAAAAAGAAAACTTAGGCCTGTCTAAGTTTTTCCATAGCAGTTAGGATGCTATTTTAAGAGCTTCTGTTGTTAACAGGCCTATCAAATGCAAATTCACTAAGACCAGTAGTGTCCTGGTTGAAGTAACAGGTTTCAATTTCTTTTAAGCCGGTTACTCACTGCGTGCGACGGCAACGCGATGAAGAACGCACACGAAGACGTGGACCCAACAGATCGTCTTTTTAATGAGGATCCGTTCAGATTGCCACTGACAATCAGCAGACGGCATTGCGTCGTCTATCGCTCGCCAGAAGCAAATGTGGATTCGTCGTGCGACGCAGTGAGTGTCCGGCTTTACTCTGCGAATGATTAGAAACATACCGTCTAGAAGAAAAAAAAAAAAAACTTGTATCCTGGAGAATAAAATGTGTTCACAGTCTGATATAATCAAAGGCAGAACATAATGCTGAAATTCAAAGGAAATTGATGCAGGCGATCTGACTTCAGTTTAGGACTTCGCAAGTAGATACCGGCGCTGCATCACAAAATACCTATTGCAACAGTATGACAGATACAGTCTTTCTGTTGTGATAACAGCGATGAAATAAACACAAACTGTTTCTTTATCTCCTTTATTTATTTGTACATTTGTTAGCAATAATTATCAATTTGCCAGAACATACAGCCTCAATGGTGTTTTAATATTAATTAATAAGTACAGAAGTAGTACAGAAGTGGGGAAAATGCATAAAATAGAGATATCAACACCATTATGCAAGTTTCTAAATATTAACCGTCAATATACGTGATGTCGTGCCTACCGTAAGTGCAGGCACAGTACAAATCTGGCGCTGCATGAAAGCCAATGATGAATTTATGTGTACATTTATTAAAAGGTAGGAAGATGAATACAATCATACAATATTTAATTAGCGCATGGTTGTGCCACTGGAACCACATTTTACAGTAGCAAGTAGATACACTGTGTAGCCAATAGTCCCAGATTCTATATTAGTGAGATTTTGCAACCTTACGAAAACGATAACGAATACGATAACGAATACAGTACGTCTTTATCATTATGGTCGTTCGTTCGTGCCTAAAACATTCCTGACGATATGCTGTAGCAGCTAAATATGATCTTTGATTCAAGCAAAAGGCACGAATCGCCTACGTTTTGTGACATATGCTACTATAATAGGGTAATGGTTGTCTAAAAATTTGATGACGTAACTGTGTTCATTATAGTTTACATAAACTTGCGAAAATTCCCTATTGTTCTCTAATGCAGGTTACGGTTCCAAATCATTAATTGTTCTGAATACTTTTGTACATTTGTGATGATCTACAAATTTTTACAAGTTTATTGTTACTTAATCAGCGATATTATTTAGTTTATGGGTTGAAATAATCATTTAATTTACATTGAGTAACAATTTCCGATATCAACTTATCCATACTAGAATTACTAATGTTATGTCATATAAATTAATTCTTAATTTTGGAATTCAAATTATGTCAACAGAACATTATCAATAATACAAATCCTCAAAAAAACATATCTGACATTGAAGGTTAACAGAATTAACTTGAGATAAATATTTGATGGAAATTCAACTTAAAAATAATTCACTTATTTCGCCAGTAGTGCAATAATTCATTAATGTGGACACATTAAAGCATGCAAGTCGAATACGGGATTTAACTTATCTCCAGAAACGGCTGAAATATGGAGAGCAATAGAATGGACCAGTCTGGACTTTCAATAAATTTAACAACTGACCAATCATAACAAGGCCAGAATACGCGCTTGTCCTACAAACACACGTTGCCCACAAACGCATGTTTTACGTACGTTTACGTGGTGGTTATGCGGAGCTTTCGCAACTATTTCCAAGATGCTCGGCATAGCAGAACAGTCCAAATATTCAGAACTCGGCACACACTAGCTACAACAAGTTTAGTTATATCTTTTTGTATGATATTCAACACATTTTTACATTATATTCAACCATCTTTTTACAACCTTACATAAATAATGCCAGACCCCCCCAGAAGGTAGCGCATGACCGTGACCAGTGGCGAGATTGTCAAGACATCATCATTAGGGCCCCAACAACCTCAGCCAGGGTTTATGGGATTGAATGAATGATATAAATTATGATTCTAGTGATTTGTTAAATGAAAATCAACAACAATAAATTTGGTGAGGATTTAATTATATCTGTATTATATTTGATTTTCTATATTCCAGAGACTATGTTCCCACTTACCATTGTTATAACATCTCCTAGTTCAGAAAAAAGTAATAATTAATTTCTTTATTCTTTAGTTATTCTATAATAAACTGGTGACTTGTTCAGTAGAAAACTATTTCAGCCACATGGCGATAGTATACACACTGAAATTGGGGGAAAAAAAAGATCCATCAAGCTACTCCATGAAAAAATGTTTTCCCGTATTTTTGCATGAATAATGATTTTAGTTGCCACTGAACTTTCTCATACGTTTCGTTTTCTTTCTTTTTCTGTTTACTAAATTCATTACTGTCGTTTGCGTCATCTTCCATTTACACAAACTAAAGATTATTCATTAACATACAGGAGACACAAAAGAGATGAGGGCAGTATTTACATTTACAATGAGCCTTTGTTATAAACAAAAAAAGTACAAAAAATTATTGGAATCTATTTTTTCCTGTTTCTTGGTCGTAGTTCATCTGTTGCATTCCCTCGCAGGAAGATGCAGTTCTTTTTCTTACTGTCATAAAAGTCATGTCCCTGTAACACAATTAAACAAAAAAATATTTACTCTGTAAACAATTTTAGTCTACATTATGATGACAATTATTATGATGAAACACTTTCCAATGTTGTAAAATGGCTTTCATTGTGGTATTTACTCTTCCATTTAGGAAAGTCAACCTCCATTGTGAAAATTTGTCATTTAAAATCTCATAGCAATAAAAATATGTGTAAAGCCCCATTCCTGGCAAAATATCAGTTGTTAAGAAAAATCTGATTTTTATATACAGTATGTTATATACAGATTTATATATATAATACAAAATTGCTAGTTTAAGTGAATTTAGACATTCCTAACAAAATGTAAAATAAGACTGAAATTTGACTTTTCGTGTTGCACACAAAAAATAAACGTGGATGAATTTTTTATGTTTGTTTGCGATAGGTCTGCGAAGAAATATATTAGGCGCCGGAAACATTAGCCTATACAACACTGCTAGGCTAGGCCTAGCCTTACTTGATTTAGGTTCTGTTATCTGATATAAAAACGGCCGACATATTTTCTGTTGCTAGTATTGACACTTGTGAAATATAATATTTCACTGGAATTATTTCAAATTTGTTAAAAAATGATTCTGACCAAGATTTTGACAATTGAACAAACATATCTCAGGCCTTCTCGATCGACCGCAGTGTGCCAGATGCAAAGTACAAAAATTAATCTCATTAGAGAGGGCGCACTTTATTGACTGCATAAAGTATACACAAAAATGAGAGTATTCCAGCGGATTGTATCTACAACCTCTAAATTTGCCTAGTAACAAAGAAGTTGTCGAGAAATAGTCTCTATTTCTCATTTTTTAAAATTCTTTTTCGTACATCTAAAATTTATGCCAATATTTTTCCATGGTTTATAATTTATAATAATCAGAGTAATACATATGCATTTTTTTTCTGAAAAAACTCTTTTTTTAGTGAAATTTTGCTGGGAATGGGACTTTAACAGATCATTAAAAACTGAAACTGATTTGGTTCTAACCTTTGACCAATCATAGCCTACAGCATAACCAAATATGTTACCCTGAGCATTAAAGTCACAGCTTATGATTGGTTGAAGCATTTGATCTGATGTCTTCAGTTTGGTGCGTGCATCTTTATCCCAGAAACTGAACATTCCATCAGACCCTGCTGTTGCCAGAGTGCCATGCTCCGGATGGAAAGCAATGGAATTCACCTGGAGGCATAATAATAACTCTAGTACTGTACTACTGTATCATAACAAAAAATATTTAATTTAATGAAAATTGTTATATTATTAATATTCAAAATGGTTTAAATGTTTCAAAACAATATAGGAGAGTGTCCTATCAAGCTTATTACTTCCTACACTAGTCTTCTAAAACCAATACTGTACACAATTCACAAGAGATAAAATATTGCATGGGATGCATGCTAAATGGTATCATATTAAAAGTAGTATAATAAAATAATATTTATTATGATAATCATAGTAACTATATCAATAACAACAATAACAATATTATTATAAACAAATAGAAATAAAATAAAAAACAAAAATAAAATGCTCATAGTAATAATATAATAATAATAATAATAATAATAATAAAATAAAAAATAACAATAATAAAACATACCGCATAAATATCCTGATATGAAGCTGATCCATTGCTACGATGACATTTAAATGTAAAATTATTTTTCCTGAAAATGTAAGAATAAAATAACAAAATACTATCAAACATACCAAGTATGCAATCAATGGGCAAAGTAATATCTGAAAAAAACTGTACTGTAAATTTCAGTTTTTAAGCCACCCTGAGTAAACTCTTTACTTTAATCACATTTGAAATTTAACAATTAAAAATATTGTTGCTACTACATGATTTTATGGATTATCATGCTGCTACAACTTAAATTATTGTTTTTATATGGTGCACTGTTACATAGACTTTTTGAGATTCAGTCAACCATGTCATTTTGTAATTTTTAACATAGTAATTTCATACTGTACTGTATTTGAATTGTGAATGCTTTACTAAACTTGGGAACAGCATTTCACTCAGTATAAATAATGCAAAAACAATATAAACTTACGGATTTGCAGCTTGGACAAACTGGATGGCAACTCGGCCTTCAATGCTTCCCAGTGCAAAGCCAACAGGTGTGTTTTTCTTCATGTCTTTAAATATTGATACGCAACGATGCTATGGAAACCAAAAACATATTTACATACTTAAGCGGTACAGGCCACATTTTGGAAATTAGAACCCCCCTCCCCAATATAAGAACTCAGCCTGAAATTTGAAACAGGTTATTATTTTATTTGTATTATATTTCACTGGAGTTTGTAAGATTTAGTACTTTCTGTTACACAACTAAAATAATGGGATTAAAATACTAATGAACAGTAGCAAGAATCAGGTTTAAAAAAAAGGAATTACTGGATCGAATCATCATTGTTACTTACAAGTAATTTTCTATTGTCAGTGTAATTTTCTACGTTGATAAATAAGAGCAAAATTCCTACCTGATATTTGAGAGGTGATTCCATTCGCTTGAACTCAGCAGGTTGGTTGTCCAACTGATAAATCAAGATATGTCTCCCTGCTGTACCAACCACAGCCATTGGGAAAACCTGATTCAATATTAAAGTGATACATATTTATATGACACAAGACAAAGGGAAAATAATATCATCATCTCATCATCATCTCATCATCATCATCTGAGATTGTGTCTCTGATACTCTGCAGCCTGTAAAATTGAGATTTTGTAAGTGGATCGAGTCAAGACAAAAAATTATTTTATTTGTCACACAAAATATATATACAAAATCAGTGTATCCACTTCTAAAAATACAAGAAACAAATCACCCACTTAAATTGAATGCCAGGTTACTAAATTTCTTATCTAAAAACAAAAACACAACAGAAAACAACAAAAACACAAGAAAATTTATGGATTGTAATGTAATATTTAAGTAAATATATACACATTTTTTTTTAGTTGCTTTAAATTAAAAAATATATATATATTTTTTTAAATAGTTAACAGTAATAATATAAACATTAAAAAAAAATTATGGATTTTGGAAGGAAACAATTGATACTTACTACATCAGCACAGTAGCACCGTTCTGGAAGTTGAAGGGTCATTATTGGCTGAGGCGTTCTTGTATCCCAAAACTGAAAAACCAATTGATTCATAATAAATACATGATTGCACAGGGTTCTCACCAGCATTTAGGAGTTCAGGTCGGCGACCGAGTAGAGTGAAAAGAATAAAATTAGGCCTATTTTCAATTCATTGCTGTATCACTTTTTTTGAAAAGTTAACACATTGTGATTCAGTAATATATTTAAAGATAAAATACATAACAACTTAAATTACATTTATTGACAAACAGTAAAATTAATTCAACACCTATTTATGAATGTCAAACATCCGTGGTTGAGCCGTAAACTTGGTTTAAAAAAAATTCATATGACCAATACAGGGTTTCCCCATGTGCGTTGATTTGCCGTCGATGATTCGATTTTGTGTTGCTCGATAAAAAGCCTACTACGCCTATGCCTAGAAGTAGTTGACAGTATAATACATACTCCAAGTATCGAAATGCACGCCATTGTGTTGGGATTCAATATTTCAACATTAATTATGTCATCATCAGAAATGATAGTAGTAGAAGGGTTTCAAATTAAAATTAATTGATATCTTTTTCTTATCTAATGTATACAAGCATGTTCATTGTCTAGCAAGCGAGTTGTTAATGAACAACTCCTTACTCTAGAAGTGTTAAACAGAAAATATTTTGTTAGCCTACGTTGTTTTTTCCACTGCGGACAGGCCCGGCCACCAAACCTGTGTAGTGAGAACCCTGCTGCATAATGTCATACTGTACTTTATTTATATTATATATTTTTAACTATTTTTAGTTTACTTTGCAATTGTTTGTGCATGTTTCATAGATGTCTGACAATGATTAGGGTTACCATTTGAAGGAAAAAGTTAAAATACCAATATCTGCCAGTCCATTATAAAAAAGACCAGCCAGTAAGAGGCTTAGCACCATACTTAAGATATAACAACATAATTATACTATACAAGTTTTTAAATAAATAATTGAATACTGTTAAACAGCTGTTGGTTTGGTTTCTTAAAGTGAGTGAGAAAATTTTGTCATAATCATACTAAAAGCTGGTATTTTGTTCACATTTTGATAGGTAAAAACACCACTGCTTCCACCTCTATATCTAGGGAATGAACTCACCTTAAGTGTTTTATCCCAGCTACCTGTCATGACGCAGGTGTACTGTGGAGCTTTGATCCAGTGGATGGACTTGATAGGTGCATCATGCTGATAAACAAGACAAGAAATTTAACTTTAGGTTGGCCAACTCTAATTTTACAATTTTTAAACATAAACTAGACTTCAGCTCCACCCTCTTTGCCCAAGAATGGAAGGCAAATAAACATAAACATAACCACAACCAAGCTACAAAGAGAAAAAAATTGCTCCTGTCAAAATACCTGTGCAACTTGAATTGCTTGGTTACTTCCAAGATCCCACATTTTTGCTGTTTTGTCACAAGAAGCTGTAAACACTTTTGTGCCATCCTAAAGAAAATAAATGTTAACAAATGCAAAATAAAAGAATTGATAAAATAATGTTCATTCAGTCTGATATAAACCACATTTCTGGAATGGAGAAATTAATACTTACATATGGTACAATAATATCTTTGTGCTACAAATTACACAAATCAACATGTTTACATGAGATGATATTCGTTCATTTATTAATTTAATACTGTATTTCAGAATAACAGTTCCATTAAACACAATTTCCTGCATATAAATAAACTAAAATAACTAAAGACATTGCTCACATCATGCCAAGCAACATCAAGTACAGGTCCTGCATGTGTCTGCTGAGCCTTTGGTACTGTCTGTCCAGTAGTCTGTTGTATCTCCCAACAACGAACCTGAAATCAAAAGTACAGTAAACCGTCCATTTTACGTACCCCTTGTTACCAAGGGGTGTTCGTAATTTGAAAAATTTGTGAACTAGATCGAGTGTCAGTTTCCAATACCTAGGCCTAGTTATCCCCTGCCATTGAGCGCCGATAGGCTGACGGCGGCCAGGTCTCGCACAAACTGACAGTGCAGCAATGTGATCTACCGCGCTAGAGCCTAGCTGAATTTACCTTCGATAAAAATCAAATTATTTTAATCGTTGGCTTTCTTCCACTTGACAAAATATTATTTTAACTCTTATTCAAACATCTGTGTTTTATGGACCTTTCTATCGTGTTCTTTCTAGTTGTTAGATCACCGAATTGTGTTGTTTACATACATTTCGAGATCATATCTAGCTTTCACGATGTTGACCCCAACACTCTAGTTCGTCATCGTAAACATGTGCGCTCAATTCAAAAACACTTGCATTGGTAGTTCGTTGTTCTGGTTAGGTTTATTACATTAATATAGTGATTATTATACCAGAAATGGAAGAAAAGATCAAACTTTAATAAATAAATACAACAAACTTGATTTTATTAAGGAAAAATATACATTATAACTTTGTAAAATGTGCACAATCAGACTTTTTTTTATGTTAATAATTGGTTGATGATGACGTCATCAGGGGCAAAGACCATTCGTAAAATTGACTAATCGTAAAATTGACATTTGTAAAATGGACGTTTTACTGTATTGTTATTTTAATGCAAGCATTCTGAAAAATATCATCATATGATTAAAATCACAAAAAAAATGATATCATTTTGATGACTCAGATTAACAAAAATCATCTTTAAATATACAATTTTGTTTACTCATTTATGCCCTGGATAAAAAACTGGGTATGAAATATATTGATTAAATTTGATGCCCCAAACTGTTTTATACTTCAGAATGAGTAAAAATATTATATCAATTATTATATAAATGCTGCTATGTTTGCTAATGAAAAATGATGTTTTGAGAAATTTGACCATAACAAGTTCACAAAAAAACATACATTATTATCCCATGAACCTGCAATTAAGAATGTGTTGGGAATGGTCGGCGGGCTAAATTTAATGACACTGATGCTGTCATCGGGTGGAGTGGTCACTTCAATGTCTTTCATTGGATTGTGGTTGCCGGCTGCTGCTGATGAAGCAAACAATGAGCTACCGCCACTCCCAAATCCAGATGTAGATGTACCAAACATTATTCAAAGATATTCTGAAAAAAATAACATGAAAGTAGAAAATATTACAGTACAACATTACCAAAAAATAATGGTAGGTCTATTATTCAATGATATGCAAAGCAGTACCTTACTGTAAAGTTTTTTAATTGCGCAGAGGATATCTAAAAAATTAGCTCAAATTTGCATAAAAAATCACCAGAAAAATAGGTGCACAGGATCGTAATTGCTACATAATTGCATTGGTTATATTAAGATTTGGTCAAAGACTAATTTGCAGCAAAATCGGCCCTTATTTTCCGAATATATTCCCCACGCCGTCCTTACTATAATCTGGAAACAGTACAAAGTTGAATTGGAGAACATTATGGACAAGCTTCTGTACTGCACCTCTCTGACACTGGCAGATGAAATGTTTTAAACCAGAGGTTTGGTTTCATTAATGAGATGGACTCTAATTATCATCTGACCATGAACATGTCAACAAGATCTTAGGCTTACAAGTTTGTTAAATATTGGTCGGCAAGTTTTCTTTTTTTATTTTATTTGACACATCTAGATGTGTATAAGAGACAGTTGAGGGGGAGGGGAAAGTTTGGAGGGTGTGACTGTGTATAGTCAAGGGGAAAGTTTATCAGGAGGAAAGTTTGTCAGGAGGAAAGTTTGTCAGGATCTTATAGGTGGCGAGTTGACTGGTTGTCCTACTGAGATTGAGGCCTTTAGAAAGCTGTTGCATCCTTCTCTGTAAAGAAAAAATTTACTCGCCCTTTTTTAAAATTAATATTTATTTTTACATTTTACATTTTGGGCGTTTAAACACACCACACCACACGTGCCAGACTGTATAGTATGGCCTGTGTGGGGAATCTACTCACCGCACAAAAATTTGGCCAAAAAATACGTCAACGCATTTCAGAAAATAAGGGCTGATTTCCGCACAAATTTTCCTGAAAATTAGGGTTTTTACCAAATCTTAATATGAACGAATGTAATTATGCAGCAAATACGATTCCGCGCACCTAGTTTTCTAGCGAATTTCCGCGCAAAATTTGAGCCGAATATTTTAATTTTTAGGTATCCTCCGCGCAATTAAAAACTTCACAGAATTGCACATGTGTACAAACAAACTCACTCACTTTTCTTGGAAATACATCCAGACGTTTGATTCCTGCTAATAAATGAAGTAGAAAGAAGAGAAGGTCTTAGCCTTAGGTAGGCAGGCGGCCTAGGCCTTGCCAACCTATGAATGAGGCCTTCTCTACTTTTTTAAAGGCCTGAGTTAAGTCTAGGCTAGGCCTACCGGCCTAGCTAGCCTACCCTGAAGCCTATACATCCACACTTGTTTGTGGCAGCAAAGGAATAAGAAGAGCACGCTAATTTCCTTAAAAATTCAGAACATTAAAAAAGTGGAAACTACAAAATTCACACTCCATATGATACCAACCTTAGGTGGTAGGCCTTGAACAAATACTTCTAGGATTCCACTCTCGCTATTATTATTATATTATAATCAGTTATAATATTTGGTACGTTTTTCCCTGGCCACATTTTTCCAATAAATTCCGAAAAGTTACGAATTGTTAAAAGAATCAGATCGTGTTGGTCCACACTAATTTCAATTTTTATATATTAAAAATTGATTATTTTTAATAAGTATTGATTTAAAACATTACAAAGAACAATACAATGTCTTTTATTTAAATACATATCAAAAAATGTCAATAAATATAGATAATACAAACTCAAAATTACTGTACATTTACAAGAGCAGGAATTTTTCTTTCCACAAAAGTATGATGGTGTGGTAAAACAGGAAATGAAGAAACTACTTTTTGACGCTTAGGCCTACTTTAATTTATTTAGTACGTGTTTTCTGATCGTATATATGAGTCCTACATTTCAAGAGCAACAATTTTTCAATAACCACACCATAAGTTTAATAAAATATTATTATAATACCAAATAAATTCAACGTCAATTATTTACTGTTTATATTGCCAGTCGTGTTGAGCCGCCAGTCCCACAGAATTTTACTCAAGGCAATATCCATGTGTTCGTACCGCTGATGCAACTTTGATATACGGGAATTAAATTGATAGTCTTAGTTCGCGTTAATTTGTTGTGATTTAAGGTACATTCATGTGTTTTACATTCATAAAGTATATTTATATACATATCAGTGTAGTTTATTTGTTAATAATTAGATGGTTGTAAAGAGCATTCATCTAAAATACGCTCACCAGCTTGTAGTTAGGATGTAGTTTATAATATATAAAGGCGGCCTAGGAAGCCTAGTTAGGCTAGGCCTAGGCTAAATTGTCGGCCGGCGACCCACTGTCAGATCCGCTGACAACTCCACCTAGCCTAGGCCTAAGCTATTTTATAAAGTATTAATATTTAGATCTGTCGGCTAGTTCATTTTGCATTTGCCGCATCTAATTGCAAAAGTGAGTAAGCTAGACTTAAACTTAATCAAGAATTTTATGCAGCTGGTGATTGAAATAAAAATATGATAATAATAATATTAAAATTTAACAACACTCACTGGGAATGGAGCAGCCTAGCCTAGGGCCTGTAAAATTGCTGTAAAACTGATAATTAATGTTTCTCTATCCATTATTTTATATTAGGCCACGAGAATGAAAGTTGTAGGTTTGCGTCCGAAAAATTTTGAAAACACATGAGGCATTTTTTCATTTTTCATTATTTTTTTTATAAATGCTGTCACAAGCCGCGTCATTGGTAATTTTACATTTATTCCCAAGAATGCTTACAGTCATAAATGTACACTAGCCTATAAAACAGATCCTTTTCTACATTTAAGACCTCTTTAAACATACGAGATTTCCTATTGGTCAGAGAGATCGATTTGACCCGTAAATGACCTCAGCAGTGATCGGCGATCATGGTGAGATGTGGCCAGGCCTGCCTTCTCTCGGTGTTCGCGACGAGTGATCAGTGATGAATAGATCGTTTTTCTGTCTGTTTACGACTTAGAAAGTCTGTTTTTTAAAACGAAGTATATATTTTTTTCAAAATAATGAACTTTTCAAAATAATGAAAATTTTCGTGCGGTAGCTTTATAGGCATGCGGGCGGTGGACGCAAACCTACAACTTTCATTCCCGTGGCCTTAAAAACATGTTAACTTATTAATAAAATATCCAATTCAAACAATGTTTCTTACAGAATCTAGGCATCATCATGCCAATTTCCTGCCGTTTCTACGAGAACCACTTCCCTGAAGTGGAAGATGTTGTCATGGTAACTGTCACATCCATAGCTGAGATGGGGGCATATGTAAATCTTCTAGAATACAACAATATTGAGGGCATGATTCTCCTCAGTGAGCTTTCAAGACGACGTATTCGGTCCATCAACAAACTAATCCGTGTTGGCAAAAATGAATGTGTGGTTGTTATCAGGGTAGACAAAGATAAAGGTACTAAATTGTAAATTATGATTTAATGCAGGAGACCTACTCAAATTTTTTCAGATAGCTTATTGTTTAAATATTTTATCTTTGTATAATTTGTAGAGTTGATTGATAATGAAAATTATATTTTTATTAAAATTTTACTTTAAATATGTTATGTGTTTAATATAAATTTAATTTATAATGATATATGTTGCATCTGTTACATCAACCTATTCACTGCTGTTAGTACCATATACAACATATTATGGTATATTGAAATATCTTGTCTAAGCCATTTTGGCCCTTAATGGAATAATAATATAACGTACAATTTTAAGTGTACTCACTATATTAGTGACAAATAAATATTGCCAAATGCATGTGGTTATGTTAATAGAAATATAATCATTATTTTAATGCATTTAAAAATTTGATGGTGCTATTTTTGCAGGTTATATTGATCTTTCTAAAAGAAGAGTCTCACAAGAAGAAATTGCTAAATGTGAAGAAAAGTTTGCAAAAGCTAAAGCTGTGAGTGGATACTTATAATTTCAGACTTGCATTTATTTATTTATAAACTGCATTTTTTAAATAATTCTTTATTGGTCATCATTCAAATTGAAAATCAGGAATTCTGGCCCCTTGGGCCCACAGGAACCACAGTGCAGCGCAGAAGGTGGATGAGAAAAGAATAAAGAACATATTTTTTTCTTAAATTTTTATTTTTTATAGGTGAATCAAATATTACGACACGTAGGGGAGATTATGAAATATGAGAGTGATAGCCAATTGGAGGCATTGTACACAAAAACGGCTTGGTACTTTGATAAGAAACTTAACAGGCCAGGGTATGGGGCTCATGAAGTGTTCAAGAACAGTGTAAGGTCAGTGATGTTTGAAATATTTAATAATCATTTTTCATTATTATTTGATCTGTGTAATAGTCTCAGATAACTTCCTGATTAAGTATGAGTAGTATTTTATTACCTGAACATCATATTGTTTTCAAAATTTACTTTTATGGTATATATTATATTGATACAATTTCTTCAACAATGCCAATTTATTACATTAAAATCTTTTTTTTAATGTTTTTATTATGTTAATTATTGTTAATAATATGATTTTTATTAATGTTTATTATTCTTGCAATATGTTTTGTTTTTAGTGATCCCTCTGTACTTGATGAATGTAATTTGGATGAAGAAACTTTCTCTTGTCTAATGACACAAATAAAACGCAGACTCACACCGCAGGCAGTCAAAATCCGTGCTGGTAAGTCTTTAAAACAATTTTTTTTTATTCAGCAGCAGCAGGAAGCCCACACTTTCATATCTATAAATATAATACATCTTCGTGTTCAGTATATCAAAATCAGATATAAATCATATTTTATCTTTACTGTTTTATTTTTTTAATTTTTAATTAATTAACACACCATGACATACTTGGTGAAATTAACCAAACAAATGTTATTAAATTTGTAGTTTAATTGTGAGTAATAGTGTGTAAATGTTATGTATTGTGTAAAAAGGTCCCAGTTTGTCTTGATTGACAGTTTGTACATAATAATTTGATGTTTTTATATTTCTCATGCAGATGTAGAAGTATCATGCTATGGCTATGAGGGTATTGATGCTATCAAGGGCGCCCTCTTAAAAGGATTGGAGCACTCAACTGAAGATATGCCAATAAAGGTATTTAAACTCGTTAAAATGTTGTCACTAAATCTTGATAGTTTGTTCAAAGCATGTAAGGCTCAACTTTTTTTTCTTTTACTTTTATGCATACTAATTTTCACTTGTCTACCAGCCATCCTTGGTAATTTCTTATCAGTTTTTTCCGGTTTAATTATTTTTTTCAGATAAACTTAATAGCACCACCACAGTATGTTGTTACGACATCAACACTTGAGAAGACGGAAGGTCTGACATTGTTACAAAAAGCCATTGATTCAATCAAAGAGAGTATAGAAGGAAATCGTGGGATGTTCAACATACAAATGGCGGTAAGTCTCTCAATAATGACAATACCAGCTCAACTTTTTGTATGATTGATAGTCTAATAATTATTTTTGGTTTTAGTCTGCAAAAGTTGCAAATAATTTGGCCTCTGGGCTACGGAATGTAACTACTGTAACTGGTCTTTCTGTAATTTTTTGAGTAAATAATGTGAAATGTGTCAATGTTCTGATATTTTATTTATTTTAGCTCTTTGTGACCAATAATACAGTGGTGTTTCTAAGAGTCTTGAAATGGAGGGGGGTGACTGCTGGGGCACAATGGTAGAGTGGGAATCAATAATCAAGTAGGGGTAGCTAACTCGCAAAATAGCGTGATATGCGGTGATTTTTAACTATAGCTTCAGCATGATTTTCTTTTTATTTGGACATTTTCAGTGAGAAGGATAACTGGGGAGCACAAGGGTTTTTTTTGGGAGGATGTGCGGTCTCCTGCACCTATAGATATGCCGCTGCAATATTAAAAGCTAGTAAATGAAGCAAATCAACTTTTTTTTGTTTTTGTAGCCTCGTGTGGTCACTGACGTTGAAGAATTGGAGCTAGAGAAACAGATGCAACAGTTAGAGCAGCAGAACCAGGAAGTCAGTGGTGATGAGGATGAAGGCGATGAAATGGCTGTTGCAGATGACTAGACATGAAATAACTCCATTATGTGATAAAAATTTAAAAAAAAAAAAAACTATCGAAGCCCACAATGACCAATTACATTTACTGTAATAACCTGAATATTTCATACTATCAAATGTATACTTTTTCATTTTATGTTCAGTTCTCAAAAAAATTTCTTAAAATACGTTTGATATCGAAACTTCATTTGAAGTGTTAAGCTGGTTGACACGATTCAGCAGTGTCATCCTTCCTTCCATACATGGATGGCTGTACGTTTTTTTGTCTCAGCATTTTCCCTACATTCTGAACTGTGCAAAATTCATAATTATTGTAAAAATGACTTGGATTTAATAAAATAATAAATATTAAAACAACCCTCAATAATTTAGGTATGGATATACAATATACAATTATACAATATATATTATATGGATATACAATTTTGTTGGAGGAAAACCATTTTGTTACACACGACAATGGGATAAGATTTTTGAATTTTATTTGTACAGTCACAGTTTTGAGTTATTACTGTAAGATTTCCTATTAAATATTTTAATACAGTATTTCTGAAAAGTAGGAAAGTTCAGAGTGACTGTTTAAAGTGGAGGCGCAGACTAGCATTTTTTTCTAATACCTTGGAAGTATTTATTGAAAGATAGTCAACAACCATAATAAATAATTAATATTGTTCTGTTATTAGACATTCAGTTCTGCAAAACTTTTTTTAACCATAGTTTCAATTCTGGCCTTGATTACACTGCTGGGTGTATTTCTTCCTTGCTAGTGTGAAGATACAAACTCTGATTTTATGGAAATGAATTGTTTATTCAACAAAAGAATATCTTTTAAATTAGTGCATTTCAATAATTGCTGTATTTTGAGTACTACAGTTGCCACATTTGTTATGAATCATACATGAGTACATACTTTTAACTCAGCACCTCCTTTTTGAAGTATCAAACTCTGTAACCTCGTATTAAATATTTACAGATGCCAATTTCATTCTGCAAAGAAAGTTACGTTTCACATATTACACAGGTACCAGATATATTGTTAGGTAGGAGGGAATTCATATTTGATGCAGCTTCTCAAATCATAATAAAACATTGTACATAAATCATTAAAGTTTGATTTTGTTTTCTTTTTGCAAATAAACAATAGTGTGCGTATGGCTGTTCATTTATTGTTCAATTATGCAATCAGATTTTTGGTTTACCCGTCTGAAACACTGTCCAAGAAATTTTAGAGGGTAAAACTGTGGACTCCATAATGAGCGTCAAATACTCGGGAACTTTATTTTATGTTCAAATAAATCTGAGTTGCAAAAACACGTGCACTACCCTTTTATAGTGATTTACGCGTGCTAGACAGACTGAATCTTGAGACCATAAAATGGAACTATCATTATGCCTTTAGGACAAAATTTGTCTGCTAGAGCTTAAGTTGTTCCGTTTTAATAATAATTATTTATTTGGAATGGCACTTTTTGTAACAGCGGCACACAACCGCATGGGCGGTGCATCCAAGAGATGACGATATGCAGAAAAAAAAAAGATCAATAAATGAATTCATGTGAGACACCATGTAGACAAAAATCCGACAAAGCCTCGATGAGTGACTGAGAACCTAGCCCAGTGCCCCAAACAGACACCTCAATCATCTTCAGGCTCCTGAAAGCGACCAAAGCACGCAATCCGTAATGCCGAGAACTCCCATCCCCCATCGCAAGAACTCATCCAAAACTAAATTCAATGAAAGGCAAAATTAAACACAACAAAAAAATGATAAGAATATAAAGTTAAATATCTATTATAAATCTCTAGCTTCTCGAGCATTGTATTCCTAGATCCGCCTCTGCAACGGAATGCGGAAGCGCCGATAATCATGAGGATTCATTTTAATTGGGGGAAAACCCGAATTGAATGATTTTATTGCACGATCTCCTCCTTCTACGAGCCTGCGTGCTTATTATAGGCCTATTGTAGACACAAAAAACGACAGTTGACACAGAAATACAACCGACAACATCGAAAAGAGCTTTTTGTGGGGGGGGGGGGGAGCGTGTGCGTCCCCCTTGGATACGCCACTGCTACTGGGACAGTTAGGACAGTCCCACACAACTTTCCTATGGTCCACATTTTTAAAAATGGGTCCAGATTATTCATATTTTTGTGTTAAATGGGACAACTTTTAAGAAAATGGGTCCAGATTTCACATATATTGCATAAAATGGGTCAATTTTAAAGAAATTTGGTACAGATTATTCATATTTTTGTGTTAAGGGATAACTTTTAAGAAAATGGGTCCACATTATTTAAATGTATACGTACGTCACTAAAGTGGATCTACCCTGATATTGTCCAACATACAGTCTGAAAATCCTGGCTACGGCATTGACAATGAACCAGTTCTCTGGTTCAAGGAACATTTAAATTAAGGTTCAAAGGTCCTTTGATTATCTTATACAGTCGGTTTAAGTTGTTGACACTTGGTAAATATTACCGGTAATGAACAAAACTGTTTATAGGTGCGTGCGTGAAATTTACCGACGACTCATAATAGCATAATAATAGCAAGCATAATTGAGAAACACCGGGAATCGAAACCACTGTAAATACATTTTAACAGCACAAAGGTAGGCAAGGTAAACATTCTCAACAGAATTGTTTGTTGTTTTATAGAGCTGAAATATATAAATGATCAACCTGTAGTACCGTGCAGATTGTCCTCTGTGAAACGCTAGGCAGTCACATTGAGTGAAGTAAAAGAGGGACACCAATGCGAATTGAGCATGATTTGTTCACACCCCGACTCGTCTAAAAGTCGATTGCTTTCAGACCTTGTTGAAACGTATATGTATATATATATATATACATATATATCCTATATATATGTATGTATGTATATATATACATATATATATATCCTATATATATATATATATATATATATATATATACTGTATATATACTCTGGCATAACGTCTTTC